ATAGAGAGAGAGAGAGAGAGAGAGAGAGAGAGAGAGAGAGAGGTTACTAATATTACTTTTTCAACTTAATTAATGGAATTAAATTTAAACAAACATTCTAGATCTTTTGAGCATTTGTAAATAAAAAAAATTAACTTCATTTATATTTTTTTGTAATCAATAAGATGTTGACTAACAGATCAATTGAGCATATTCGACTGTCGCCCCCTTGATCTTCATTGACCCTCCTTAAAAGTCCCCCGCCCCCAGAGGGTTCGGGTGCACTGCCCCAGAAGTGAGTAACGTTGATTCTGAGCGTGGTGCGTGGCGCGGCGCGGCGCAGGTGCTGCTGCTGGAGGCGGGCCCCGAGGAGCCCACGGCCACGCAGGTGCCTGGCTTCGCCGTGAGCGCCGTGGGCACGGTGCTCGACTGGAACTACACCACGGTGCCGCAGGAGGGCGCGTGCCTGGCCAGCGAGGGCGTGTGCAAGTGGCCGCGCGGGCGCATGGTCTCCGGCACCGGCGGAATGCAGGTAAACAGACGTTACAGTAAAGCCTGTTTTACACGAACATTTTTTCATCGTTTTTCGCCGATACAGAAAAGATTCAGAGCAGACTGTACGTAATTTGTACGACAAAAATGAGGTATGATTAATTTTTCGGTACAGATTTCATCCAATTTGACTACCGCGCTCCTGGCGGCACTTTACGGAACTTTCTCTGGTTTGTTGTGCGTGTGGAGCGATATGTTCGTTTTGTAATTGCTTGAGAGCGTTCTGATGTGCTGAATTGTCATGTGAAGTGGTTATGTTGTGAGAAATAAATGATGTACTGCATTCTAATATTGTCACATCCGTGCTAGGTTCTAGTGTAACCTAACTTGTTACCACGGATGCGATGTTCAAATATTTGAACTTCAGCGCTATATGCGGCGTCCGGGGGAAGTATTTTCTTCATGATTACGTACAAAGACAGGAATGACCGTGTACAACTCTCATCCAGTTTCGGCACCGAAACATACTGCGTAGAAACGAACGTCCTTTTTCCATCCACTTTGTGTTGAGAATAATGGTGAAAAAAGGATTCAAAAATGATCGTGTAAAACAGGCTTAAGAAGGGACCGCTTTTACAGCCACTGCTGACAACATAACTGCAGGTTATGCTCATGCACCCGTTTTGGGAGTGCGTTCGATTACAATTTGCTCGTTTGAAAATGACTGCATCACTATATCTTGCAATGTTATCGCTCTGCATGACGTTGATTTGTTCCCCGACCGGTTAAAATGGTCACATCTTAGAATAATTATTCTATACCCCAACCTCTCTTTAGATTCCAATGAGATCGCAGTCAGTTTCAAAATGGCAACTAGTTGCTTCGGTTTCAACCGCTTAATATCTCTGAAAAGTAATGTTATTCAAAACAATGCGCCATAAATAAGTGCCTTTAAAACCAGTCGAGATTTTTATTCTTTTTGGTACGTCAATCCCAATCAATAGAACAATTCCACAAACGAGGTGGCGTGCAGAAGAGTTGACCGAGTCCGAAAGCATTCCTTTTCGACCGACAAGGGTACATTCGCTTGCTTGTGGGCGCAGGGCATGATGTACACGCGCGGGCACCGCAGCATCTTCGACTCGTGGGCAGCAGCGGGCAACGAGGGGTGGGGCTACGACGACGTACTGCCCTTCTTCAAAATGGCGGAGCACAACCTGGACGTGGACGAGCTGGACACCGAGCTGCACGGCTTCCAAGGCCCGCTCACCGTCTCGCACTTCCCCGACCACCCGGCCATGGCCGAGTCTGTGGTGCAGGCCGGCGTCGAGCTGGGCTACAGAGACGTACGTACCCTCGCACCAAGTCACCCCCCCCTCATAGAATCTCCACGTTTTCTGCTCTTCGAGAACAGCCTTTTATTGTACATTCACTTCTATTGAGTCGCGAAGCTTTCTGAAGCTATCCATTTTTTTATCTCACGCAATATTTGGATATTCTTATTTCTTCTTCATTCCTCCTCACCGCTTGCAATGTATAATTCAATGCCTTTCTTAACAGTCCCATCCTTTTTTGTTGTAATACATTCTATCCATTTTCTTCTAATTTTTTCTACCGTCTCCAATAACATCTCTGCTATCCTTATATTACGGAGTTTTAGCGCCAGGCGTAAGGAGATATCCTTAAACTCTATTGATCACGTGACTAACGCCTTCATACGGTCGTAATGAACACAATGTCACCTCTCCAACATATCCCGTTAATTTTTGCCAGCGTTGTGGAGTTCGTAAGTAATAATTGTAACTGCCTTTTATACGAGAATCGATTTATTAGATTTGGAAAAAAGCAACTTTTCCTGCTTTTAGGCGGCCATTTTGCTGCTTGTAAGGTGACCGTAGAGTCTCCCACAGGCGTGCACTATTTTTGAAGATATAAAGTCGTACTTTAGGCCTAAGACGTTATGACTTCAAATCCGTCACGTGACTATTAGTGCATAACGCCGCTACCTTACGCGTGGCGCTAAAACTCCCTATTCTTCTGATAATCACTACCTATTTTTTATCAGACATTTCCAACAAATTATACGATATGTAGTAATTGCGAGTTAGACGGTGCTTTGTCGTTACGGCTTCGCCACAAATTCAGTACCTTCCTCTCGTGCGGGATTTGAACGCTGAACCTCCCGCTCTTCGAGGAGCGAGTGCAGCTCCTGCAGGCCGCCATGTCGCGCTTTTGCAGGGCGACCTGAACGGCTTCAACCAGACGGGCATCAACGTGGCGCAGATGATGGTGCAGGACGGGCTGCGCGGCAGCACTTCGCGTCTGTACTTGCGCCCGGCCTCCCGCCGCGAGAACCTGCACCTGGCCGTCAACGCGCACGTCAGTAAGATAGTCATCGACCCCGACACCGGCCGCGCCACTGGCGTCGAGGTGAGCCCCCCGCCGGCGCGCGCAGTCGCCAACGGTTCGACCATCGCATTCAAATGAATAAATGCGTTTCGTCCCTGTAGAAAGTTCAAAGAAAGATGGTAGAAACATTTGATAACCAGGATACGTTCTTCTGATTCCAATAATTGACTTATACATGTTTTAGAACGAAGTCAGAGTGTACACGTAAGCTTACGCGGCTCGAATCCATAAATTCTCGGCTATCCGGGAGTGTACATGTCGCAGGCTTCCTCAGGGCAGGGACTGCGACTTGTCCTGCCCTGAGGAAGCGTGCGACATGTCAGGCGAAACGTCGGCACCCCAGCCAACGACGCGGCGTCTCCCGGATAGCCGAGAATTTATGAAGTCAGAGTGTAGTTTAGATGGCAGAGCAATTAAATTTGACAATTTCCTTTACATAATTACATAGAAAGGAATTATCATATTGCAGGCTTAGTCATTGTTCAATATTATATTTCATTATTTTTGTATAAGTTGTATAAATTTTAAAGTTCGAATATCATGGGATTTTTTTGAGACAGTTTTTAGCATTTTAAATATTATTTTTCGACGTATCATTATATACAGTAGAAATTGCGGGACATTGACATCTCATTTAGGCAGGCAGAGCATTTATGCAGGCTACGAACGTCCAGAAGATACAGTGAAGCAGGATTTCTTTTCTGATTTTGTTTTTGTTTTGTCAGTTTTTACGTAAGAATTTATATGCTAAACAGAAGTCCTTTTCTATGAATGATGGGTTCACTTTTTCAAAAATGGATCGTAATGAAAACAAGAGATGCCTGAGCTTTCCTAGAACACTCATTTCGCTGTTACTTCTTTAGTTGTAATTATTTAAGTTTTTGCGCTTCAAAAGAAAGAATCATCCATAAACCGAGGGTCTATAACATCATTAATTTCGAAACTTTTTAATAAAAACTATGCAGTGATGGACAAGTATAAATAATATATAGTAAATAAAAAATGTATAGTAACTGACTAGTATTTTTGTGTGAGTTAATAAACATATTTCACGTTTTCTTGTAATAATAAACTTATTTTGTGGTTACTTCTAACGGTTTTTAAACTTAGATGCTGATTGAATTTCGTTACAATAGAAAACAGTGTGAAAAATTCTGTCATTGCCTTCCGGGGGAGAGGGAGACCCCAAACGAGCCCTTGCGCATGCAAAGCCGCTGAGACGTGCTGTGTGCGCAGTACCTGCTGCCCAACGGCGAGACGCGGCGCGTGCGCGCGCGCAAGGAGGTGGTGCTGTCGGCGGGGGCGGTGGCGTCGCCGCAGCTGCTGCTGCTGTCGGGCGTGGGGCCCGCGGAGGAGCTGCGCGCCGTGGGCGTGCCCGTGGTGCTCGACCTGCCCGGCGTGGGCCGCAACCTGCACAACCACGTGTCGGTGGGCGTAGGCTTCTGGGCGGACGACGCCGACCGCGAGACGCTCACGCTCGAGTCCCTGGCGCAGTTCCTGCGCACGCACGACGGCCCGCTCTCCAGCACCGGCCTCACGCAGGTCACCGGCTTCCTGCGCTCCAAGTACGCCCCCACCGACGTGCCCGACCTGCAGGTGAGCCGCCCCGCCCGCGCGGCCACATTTCACCCCCGTTCCCGGGTTAGCCGATAAGCGGCAGGGAAATACAGCCCGCCTCTCCGCGGCGACACCTTGCTGGTGTGACTGCTAGCATTAGAAATGAGAGTGTAGGCTTCCGCTGCCGGAGTCAGTACTTACTAGGCTGTCCAGGTGACGCCGCATTAATGGCGAAGGTGCCGACGTTTCGCTCGCCATTCTGCGTCCTTCGTCAGGGCGTAATGCGCGGAGATGAACTGAGCACTACGCCCTGACGAAGGTCGCAGAATGGCGACCGAAACGTCGGCACCTGGACGCGGCGTCACCCGGACAGCCTAGTAAACATAGTATTAGGAATTATGTTGGTAGCACGAACTCGTTAAAGGTAAATTGCGAACTCACCACCCTCATAACAGATGCTGAAAGAGTTGTGCCCTTCACTTGTTTTTTCAATGGTCTAGTTGCTACCAACATGAATGAAATTTTTAATACGAGGCCCTGTCTCAGCACACCATATATAACCTGTATACATGGTGGAAGGCGCCGACGAGAAGAGGTGGCTCAGGGCATCAACTGATAACACTGCAGTCCCTCTGACCGGCAGGTCCTAGATTTTCGAGTCCCGACGGTGGCAGGAGTTTCGACACTAACTTAACCAGCTAGGTCGAATTCAGTCCCTGTCTGAAGGAAAATTCTAATGACCGGCTGCTCTGATAGGTAGTTTTCCGTGATTTTACCGATCAACACCAGGCGAATGCAAGAACAGTACCCTCATAAACGGGCCACATACTACACGCGATCTATCCTTCCCCTACCTTGTTCTATCCTCACACCCTACTTACGTACTAACATGAACTATATTAGCAGACATGCCGGGAGACCGGTCTGGAGGTTACCCCGGCTGGGGCGGTGCCTCGCTGGTGGCAAAACTGCCCCAGTACTTGGAAAAAATACCCCTTAGCCGACGGTAGATCTCGCCATCCACCGGTAAATCACCACCATCTACCGGGGGGGGAAATCATGCACTACACTTAAGAGACTAACGAGCTCGGCAGTTGACGCGCCCGGAATCACTAACCACCAATCCATCAGCTTCAACATGCCTCCGCTATTTACCATCATCTTCAACATGCCTCCGCCATTTCCCATCATCATTAACATGCCCGCTATTTCCCATCATCATTAGCATGCCCGCTATTTCCCATCATCATTAGCATGCCCGCTATTTCCCATTATTATTAACATGCCGCTATTTCCCATCATCATTAGCATGCCTGCTATTTACCATCATCATTAGCATGCCCGCTATTTCCCATCATCATTAACATGCTCGCTATTTCCCATTATCATTAACATGCCTCCGCTATTTCCCATAAATGCTATTTCCCATCATCATTAGCATGCCAGCCTATAAAGAAAACGGCTGCCGTCCTACCCAGATGCTAACCGGAGTCGCGCCCCGCCGCGCCGTTCCCCCTGCGCAGGTGTTCTTCGACGGCTACAACGCGGCGTGCTCGGCGACGGGGCTGCCGGACGAGTGCAGCGACGGCAGCGTGGGCGGTTGCTCGACGCGCCGCTACATCTATGCGCGCCCCACCAACATCCTGCCGCGCAGCGTGGGCGCGCTGCGCCTGGCGTCGGCCGACCCGCTCGCGCAGCCGCTCATCGACCCGCGCTACCTCAGCGAGCAGCGCGACGTCGACGTGCTGGTGGAAGGGCTCAAGCTCATGGTGGAGCTGACGCGCACCTCCGCCCTGCAGAAGTGGGGCTTCGAGGTGAGCGACGGGTGGAAGACGGCTCTCGGGGTGCTTGACGGCGAGTGGTAGAGGAGGTTTGACGGGTCTCGCAAATCGTGCACCGATGCAAATATGTTTTCTATATCTCGGGAACGAAAACGTCTAGTTTAAAAAAAATGTATTACTAATCTCGCGCTATTTCTATTTATTATTTTATTTTTTATTACCTTTTTATTCATTTCTTATTAATTTTTTATTTATTTATTTTTATTTTTATTTATTTATTATTTTTCATTTACTTATTATTAACGCTTACTCATCTTTCAACGTGCGCAGATTATTTTCTACCCCATATATCATACAGTTTTTTTTACTGTTTTTTGACTAAGTAAATCTAAAAATAGACTTCTAGAACTCCACAAGCGACTCCGAGGCTGCGGGCGTGTCTGAAATTTCCGAAAAAGGTTCATCAGAAGGATGAGTTTACATCGGTTCTTATGTACAAAGTATCGTAAAACGAGATGACGATCGTTCCACACAAATCAACTGTATACTGAAATAAGTTTCACGAAATATTTTCTTTCTAAAGAGATAAAGAAAGTATTTCCTAACTTTGGCGACAGTATCCTAGTAACGCTAAATGCCCACTACGTCACATCATTGTGTTTCTTATTTGTTCGACTAGAGCTCTCTATCAGCACGAAGTAATATAACGCACACGTATTTTGCAGATTACGTCATGACGAAAAAAATATATCGGGCAGTATTTAAATACTTGTCTTTGAAATACATTTTGTATTTCAAAAACTGCATTTTTGAGATTTTTGGACATGAATTTAAGATATGTATTTAAGTATATAAAATAGGTGAATTTAAAAAAATAATACTTAAAATACTTTATTAAAAATAAAATTCGTGGACCTCATTGATGCTTTCATTCTAAAGTTCGTGAAACTATTAACCAGATATGTTTCGATTTTGGTTTACTTTC